ACTGGCAGTTCTCCCTGAGCAGAAACAGGGAGTGGCTGCAATTCCAGAGCTTTCAGCTTCTGATCATTTTCACTTCCTTTGTCTTAACAAAACCTGCTGACACACGGAGCATCATTTCCTTTGGATGGATGGACAGTGGTGGGGCTGGAATTCCTCTTGGACCCCTCTCTTGCCTTTTCTTCAAGTTGAGAAAGCTCCTCCCCTTTAGCAAAAGCCACTTGACATCAATTACTAAGGCTGGCAAAGCGGAAGGAAGTGTGGCTTTAGCTTCTTCTCAGCTGCCGTATCTTCTAGAAACACCAGTCCTCCAGATCTGCCCAACAACTTTGCCCTGAATGACAGAAATAGCCCCAAAGAGCCAACTGACTGCACCTAATGAAATTCAGGGCAGTTCTATAAAGATTGAGGCAGCTTTGTGTGCTTTGATTTGGAGTGACGTTACACTGCATCATGGAGAAGGAAAAGCCAGCTGAGCATGGTGGCGTACACCTGTGGCTCTAGAGGCTCTGGAGGCTGAGGCAGGAGGATCGAGAGTTCAAAGCCAGCCTCAGCAACTTAGGGAGGGCCTAGGCAACTCAGTGAGACCTTGTCTCTAAATAAAATACAAAATAGGGTTGGGGATGGGGCTCAGTGGCTACACACCCCTGAATTCAATCCCTGGTTTAAAAAATAGAAGAAGAAAGAGGAAGAAGCCCCCATACCACCCATCGGAGATGACACTTCAGCTCAAACCAGTGGTTGCCTTTGGAGAGAAGATGCACTGGTTGGGGAAGGGGTAAGAAGGAGGCTTACTTTTTATTGCATTGATATCTTTGAGATGATACACTGTAAGCCTACAGCGCCCATCCAAAAAATAAAGTGTAGTTGAAAAGCAAAGTCAACTAACAACACCTTTACTACTCCAAGGTATCTCTTATCCTCAACTTTGGATTAACCAGACAGCACTGAGAAAAGTCAAGCAGGTGGGAAGGCACTTCCTTTTCAGGGTTCGGTGCAGAAGGAGTGAAAACTAACCAAGGTTTTTTTGATCCCTGAAGTACATGAGCTGTTCTGGGTTTTGTCTTTTTTTATTGGGGGATGGGGCAGGAGGGGGGATGGGGGTATGGCACAGGCTGGCAAGATAGATGGGTTTGCCGGGTGGCTGGTTGAGGGAGGTCCCCATTATTCACTGGTTCCTACGCACCAGACACTTTACACAATCAACCATTTTCCCTTATAACTTTGTGGGGTGAAGGCTAATGATCTCTCCGTGTGAGGAGGAGGCCAGGTAGGAGGTATAGGATGGGTTTGAAGCTCATTCTGGGAGCTTCCAAAATCCAAGCTTTGTTGAGAAAGAAAATGGCAGCATCCGGGGTCTGTGTGGATTTCTTCCACCTACTTCCCCATCTGGGAACCAGTCATGTCCCCTCTGAGGACATGAGGGGAGAAGGCAGGCAAGCTGGGGCCACAGAACTGGACAGCGTGGACAAGGGCAAGGACTGGAGTTTCAGGAAACAGCAGACAGTGGCATTTTGAGAACAGAATGAGAAGGAGGGTCCTTGCTCCCTCAGGGCATGGGATTGGTTGTGAAAGGCCACCTTTGCCCATCCCCCACTCGCCAGGCTGAATCATCACATTCATGTATGAACTGATGCATTCAGGAAAATCTTGTTTTGTTTTTGAGTATCAGAGATTGAATTCAGGGGCACTCAACCACTGAGCCACATCCCCAGCCCTATTTCATATTTTATTTAGAGATAGGGTCTCACTGAATTGCTTAGTACTTTGCAGTTGCTGAGGCTGGCTTTGAACCCGAGATTCTTCTGTCCCAGCCTCCTGAGCAACTGGGATTACAAGTGTGAGCCACCGTGCCCAGGACGGGGAACTGGAATGCAGTGGTGTATCATCATAGACAAAACCTTGTCCTCATAGAACTTATGCTTGAGGATCCTTTCCCACCTCAGCCCCTCAATTGGTTGGAATTAGAAGCTGTCTTTGCTTGAAGCACTGACATCATTTGGGCCTCAGATACTCAATGGGTAACTAAAAGCAGGGTAGTTTGGCATCTCTGCCTTCATTTTTTTTTTTTCAAATATTTTTTTAAATTGCCAATGGACCTTTACTTTTATTTATTTATATGTGGTACTAGAATTGAACCCAGTGCCTCACACATGCTAGGCAAGTGCTCTACCACTAAGCCACAACCCCAGCCCCCTCTGCCTTCATTTTGTATCTGTCTTCAGACTCCCTGCTCAGCTTTGCACACAAGTATGCTAATCATTTAAAGAATGTACGTCTAAAAACTGGTAATACGAGGTTTATTAGCCCTACACGACCTAACCCATCTTGACCTCCTTCAAGACTGTGAACACCAAGATAAAAATAATTAAGGTATTTTCAAGATTTGAAGGAACACTCCACTGCCAGGTTTTACAACGTCCTGTCCCAGATCCCTGGAGGGGTGCCTGAGAGTCTCCAGTTATTGCCCCACACCTTTTCAGGAACAATGAAGCCCAGCCCAGGATGAAACTTGTCAGGCAAAATCACTTGTCTAAGATTTACCAGGCACAGGGGACTAAAAGGCAATATTTCATGTCCTCCCTCCTGTCCCTCTGCAGGAATAAATATCTCATCCAAACCAAATTGCCCCCTTCCATGATCACAGGTCTGCTAGATAAATGTCCTGAGCAGCAAATGGAAATTGCCCCCTCAAGTGATAAGAACTTCAGTGATAAGCCACCTTGCAGAACCAGAACTGAGATAATGATAAACCAGACCCCWGCTTGACCATACTGATTGCACAAGTCTCAGCCCCTCCCCCAATTCTTCCTCTTTTAAAACCTAAAGCTCACRTCAGCACCCGAACTGAGACTCCTGAGCTTACTTAGCCTTCCCAATACAGCAATACTGATTAAGTTCCTTGCTTCCTTTTTACTATTATTTTTCCCATTTGGGGCAAATGGCCAGACCAGACTTGTTGAGATCTCCAGAGTCTGAACCTCTGACCTTGGACTTTGGTTACCAATGYAGTACAATGTAGAGAGCACTGGCCAGAATCAGAAAGCCTGTTCCATCACTTATAACTGTGTGATCTTGGGCAAATACCTTAGCCTTTATGCCTCAGTTGTACCTGCATAAAATGGGCCTGATTATATAATAGCTACCACAGATTTGTATAAGTGTTTCCTATAAAAGCATATGTAAAATCTTTTGTACAGTGCCTGGCACAAAGTAGGCACTTGATAAATATTAAATGCCACTATTGTTATTATTAAATATACATTATGTTTCATGAGAACAGGGGCCATATCTTCTTATTCTTCTGAGTTTCCAGCACCTACAATAGTGCCTAGCAAATACAGACAGGGTCTCACTGAGTTGTTTAGCATCTCACTGTTGCTGAGGCTGGCTTTGAATTCCAGCACATAACTAGTTCAAACAAGTACTTAGTAAATAAATGCATAAGTGAAACTGAAGCCAGATTTAAAGTTAGGTAGTCAGTGTAGTTAGATAAATCGGGTCTAATAAAATCTAAAATGAAATCTAAAATGGAGGCCATGCTGAGAATGATTCCAGGAAACTCAGGACAACCCATGGAATGTTAATGAAGTCCAGGAAAGGCCCTAGGCCAAAGTCCATCCCAAAGAAGTGTTAACGAAGTCCTTCCTGCTCAGACTACTTCTTTGGCCCACCTGTGTCCCACCCCTCGGGCCTTCCCACCTACATTCCATCACTGAAAGAACTATAAAAAGGGGAGACAACAGCCCTTCCACGAATTCCACCTCTTGGGTCCCCTTCTTCCTCCGGGARACTCTGCTGTCCTTTAATAAACTTCTAATTTCTACTCTGACCTTGCCTAGGCGTGCTTCTTTGGTGTTATTCTCCAACATCGGGGAAGCAAGGACTCACTGGTCAACAGCGATAACAAAACGACTTACGTTTGGAAATAGGACAAGCTGGATTTTTCCGTGTCCACCCATATAGAACACCCACAGTGTGCTGGGAGACACAGGGACATTGAGAGTGGGTCCTGTCCTTGGAGAGTGCTTGACACAGGTAGGGCTGGGGATGTAGCTCAGTGGTAGACCAGTTGCCTTGCATGCAGGAGGCCCTGGCTTTTATTATCAACATTGAAACAAAGAACAGATTCTAGATAAATACATTTATTGAAGAATGAATGCATGAAGCCGGGCGCGGTGGCACACACCTGTAATCCTGGCTACTCAGGAGGCTGAGACAGAAGGATCACAAGTTTGAGGACAGCCTCTGCAATTTATTTTTTTATTTTTTTTATTTTTTAAAGAGAGAAGAGAGGGGAGAGAGAAAGAGAGAGAGAGAGAGAGAGAGAGAGAGAGAGAGAGAGAGAGAGAGAGAGAGAGAGAATTTTAATATTTATTTTTTAGTTCTCAGCGGACACAACATCTTTGTTGGTATGTGGTGCTGAGGATCGAACCCGGCCGCACGCATGCCAGGCTAACGCGCTACCGCTTGAGCCACATCCCCAGCCCCAGCCTCTGCAATTTAGCAAGACCCTTTCTCAAAACAAAACAAAAATAAAAAGGTTGGGGTATGCTCCCCCAAAAAAAGAATGCATGAAAAATCAAATGGCTATTAAAACTTCACCTGCCAAAATAAACAGACATCCTATGCAGACAATTGCGCGCACTTTCCCCGGAGTGGGCACCAGAGGGCGCTGAGCTCCGCGGTCCTCAGCTCCTGCTCAGGATCCACACCGGGGTCCAAAGGAGACTCCGCGCGGTGACGTCATATCCGCTTGCCTACCTCTCATCCGGGGTCTGGGAGCAGCCAAACGTAAACATACCAGGAGTTTCCCGGACCCAGGTTCTGGCTCCTGCTTGGGATCTCCAAGCCTTGGCGAATCCTTGCAGCCAACCGGAGTCAGAGGAGGCGTCAAGCTAGCCCGACGGACAGCAGGTAAGCGGAAGCCCGCACGAGAGTGGTTATTTCCGGGAGCTGTGTTAGTCGGCCGCACTGCTGTCGCCCGCCACGCGCGCCGAGTGCGCATGTGCAAAGCTGGAGCKACCGGAGGATGGTGCGGAGAGCCCGAGGTACCGGTCCGCGGGGGCAGAGATCCCCCATCGCCCTCTATACAACGCGGTGTGCGGTCACTACCGCACAGGGTGACCTCGATCAGTGAGTGGCACTGTGCAGGGCGCGCTGCCTGTGCCACGCGCAGAGGAGGGCCCTGAATCAATGGCGGTTGTTAGTTGGAAACAATCTAAGTGCTCAGCAGTATTGCAGTATTGAGGTTTTACAGTATTCCCGGAGTTATCCTTGGAACGTCTGCACGGTGCAACGCACTGCTTTAGGTCTTTGGAAAACAGCAGCAAACAAGACAGACCCCTGACTCGTGGAGTGAACTTACTAGGGGAGTAAAGATAAAGAATAAGTGAATTATGCAATTATGTTAGAAGGYGGCAAATGCCTTGAGACAAAAGAGCAGGGTCAGGGCAAAGAGGGGGCGATGCAGTATTAGGATGGGCACTAGGCTACAGAGACAGATTGAGCAGAAAACCAGAAAGAAGGCAAAAGAGTGAACCATGTGGCTCCTTGAAGAAAGCTGAAGCTGAGGCCCAGAGGCGGGAGAGACAGGTGGAGGAGAAGGAACTGGGAGGTGGGTCCAGTGGACAGGGGGTCAAGAACAGCACAGATCAGCTAGGATTTTGCAGGCTACTCAAGGACTTTGGTCTTGCTCTTGATAAAATAGGAAGCATTGCAGGGTTTGAACAGGGGAGGGATGTGCTTGAATAGATTTAAATAGGTTCGCCGGGAGTGGGGAGGGGAGTAAGCATGGAACCTACTGCTAATAGATGTTTACCTGCACCCCTGTAATTATTAAAAAAGCCTAGGTAAAGGCCGTTGATGGCAATGACTACAGGAGCGCTTAAACTCAGAACAGCCTGCAGAGGGCAGTGCTGTCCCCTCCTCTGAGGACTCAGGCCTGTGGATAAGTGACTGCTCAGTAAAACGTGTGCTCTGTGTAGTGCAGATGCAGCTCAGTGATAGAGTGCTTGTCTAGCTTGTGCAGAGCTTTGTGTTCAATTCCACACTACCAAAAAAAAAATCTTCTTATCTCTTAGTATAAAACATACAAAATATGAAACATGACATATCATTTTAGCCACTTTTAAGTRTACATTTCAGTGTCATTAAATACATTTACATTGTTATGCAGTCTCTGCTAAGTCCCTTTCCTTGGTTGGACAAAGAAAAGTTTTATTTTGGCTTATAGTTCTGATCCAAGGTCAAGMACAAGTTTTGGGGGGACAGATCAGGTTCACACCATAACAATGGCTGTTTCAGGAATTATTCTTCTCAAGAGCCTTGCTGTCTAAAGTGAGAGTAATTGCTGAGTACAGTGGCACATGCCTGTAGTCCCAGTAAATGTTTGCTCTGTGTGTTGGGTGGCTAAGGCAGGAGGATCCCAAGTTCGAGGCTAGCCTGGGCAACTTTGTGAGACCCTGTGTCAAAATTGAAAAGGCTGGGGATGTAGGTTCATGGTAAAGCTCATCAGCACTGGGGGAAATAAAGGGGAATAATAGTGTTTACTTCATAGGATAATTTTAAAGACAAAGAAACCAATGCATGTGATGTATTTAGCACAGAGCTGGGTGCTTAGTACCAAAAAAAAAAAAAAAAAAAAAAAAGTCAGCAGGATTTATGTTAGTAGAATGTAGAATAAATCATACTTCTTAAAATTAAGAGGACAGTTGTCTGGCATGTTGAAAACATAGGAACTTCCTTTCTATCTCTGTAGGTAACCTTTGACCAGAATTAGATGTTACTGTGTCAAGAGGTCTTTTTAAAATCAAATGGGTTGAATTCTCATTAAAAAGGTGAAAGCCTCAGGAGGCTGAGACAGGAGGATTGCTAGTTCAAGGCCAGTCTCAGAAACTTAGGCAGACCCTATCTCAAAATAGAAAGGGTTAAGGATGTAGCTCTTGRTGGAGAGCCCCTGAGTTCAGYCCCTAGTACCCCTCCACCAAAACAATGAGATATAGCTTGTGCCTTTGTAACTACTAGCCTTTTTGATTTACTGTAGGTGTGATCAGCATTGAAAAAGATGCCAGCACTGGCTACCACATACGAAAGAATAGTTTACAAAAATCCCTCTGAGTACCACTACATGAAAGTGTGCCTGTAAGTTCAGTTTCGTAAGTTACATTTTAGATTACCTTTTTAAAAATGAATCTGAATAGCATATAATTTAATGTCCCTTTTTTTTCTTTTTAATGTGTTTTTTCAGGGAATTTCAAGATCATGGAGTTGGTCTGAATGCTGCACAGTTCAAACAGCTGCTTATTTCTGCCCTAAAGGACCTGTTTGGGGAGGTATGAAGTTATTTGGTAGATTAAGATCTTTGTAAGAAATTTTTAAAAAGGGTAGGGGATGGGGATATAGCTCAGAGGTAGAGTGCTTGCCAGGTATGTGCAAGGCCCTGGATTTGACCCCTAGCACAGAAAAGGGAAAAAAAGAAAAGAATTCTGACAGCATTTTAAAACTGTAGATGATGAATTTTAGTAGGTTTGTCCTAACATGCCTTGTGGGTTTTTTAAATATTTTTTTAGTTGTAGATGGACACAGTACCTTTATATCATTTATCTTACTTTATGTGGTGCTAAGTTTGGAACCCAGTGCCTCATGTGTGCAAGGCAGGTGCTCCACCACTGAGCCACAACCCCAGGCCTATGCCTTGTATTTGACAAGAAACTTGTTAGACAAATATTTGTTCATTGTTATTTAGATTGTGATCTAGGCTGGCAACCTGCAAAGTGTTATTTTGCTCATCTTGAAGAGATGGGGCTTCACACTAGAAACCAGCACACCACTTCATTTAGTGAAAAGGTCTCCTTATAAAACACTGTGAGGGCTAGGGGTGCAGCTCAGGGGTAGAACATTTGCAGCTTGAGAGGCTAAAGCAGGAGAATTGCAAGTTCAAAGTAGCTTCAGCAACTTAGTGAGGTCTTAAGGAACTCGGGAGACCCTGTCTCTAATTAAAATATAAAAAAGAGCTTGGGATAGGGCTCAGTAATTAAGGGCCTCTGGGTTCAATCCCTGGTACAAACAGTGATATTGTTGCTYTGCATTCTGGCGCAGCTCCTTGTCTTATCACAGACCAATACTTTGCATCTCTTTGTCCTGACATTGATTTGAGAACAAAGGAGAGCTTTGGAAGTTAAGAGGGAAAGCAAAGAAGGAGTCTCAGGATATTATTTCCTGATTCATACATTCTGTCAAGTCAAATCTGCCATGTGGGGCTGCGGTTGTGGCTCAGTGGTCGAGCGCTTGCCTAGCACGTGTGAGGCCCTTGGTTCGATCCTCAGCACCACATAAGAGTAAATAAATAAAGATATTGTGTCCAACTGAAAAATAAATATATATATATTTTTAAAAGTCTGCCATGTACCTTATCAAAATTAAAAACCTTTACTTGGGCTAAGCAYAGTGGTGCATGCCTATTCTCCAGAGGCTCAGGAGACTGAGGCAGGAGGATCCTGAGTTCAAAGCCAGCCTCAACAAAAGTGAGGCCCTAAGCAACTCAGTGAGACCCTGTCTCTACATAAAATACAGAGTAGGGCTGGGAGTGTGTCTCAGTGGTCAAGCGCTCCTGAGTTCAATCCCTAGAACCCCCCTGAAAAAATAACCTTTAATTGGCAAAGGACTGTTAAGAGATTGAAAAGGTCAGTTACACACTGGGGGATAATATTTGTAAACTAATCTGACAAAAGACTCATATCTAAATATATAAAAAGAACCCTCTTTTTTTTTGTTTTATTTTTGCAGTACTGAGGACTGCACCCAGGCCCCTGCACTTGCTGTGCATATGTTCTACCATTGAGCTATTTCCAGGTGTACTGCAGTGGGTGAATAGTTAAGCTGTAGTATATTCATACCATGGAATTTACTCAACAATGAAAAAGAATGAAATGTTGATATTCACAATGACCAGATGAGTGAAAAAACCAGTCCCCAAGATTACTTACTKTGTGAGTCTGTGTCTGTAATACTTTTGAAAAAACAATTATAATTAAATAATCTAGAGGAAGATTAGTGGTTGCCAGGGGTCAAGGGTGAGGAGGAGTGATATAAAGGGGTAGAGTCAGGGAGTCTTGTTCTTTATCTTGGTTGTGGCAGTAGTTATGTGAAGCTACTTAATGTGGTAAAATTACATAGAACTACACATAAATACAGATATATGTCCAAATATGAGTATATATATAACTGGCAAAATCTGAATAAACTCCAAGTTATACTGATATAGATTACCTAATTTTGATACTGTATTATACTAATGCAAGATATTGGCATTGAGGGAGCTATAGGGTACATGGAACCTCCTATATAGCTTGCTTTGCAGTCTCCTCCAAGTGTATAGTTTATCTAAATAAAAAGTCAAAAAAAAAGATCTGTATACTTTCTATGTGTCAGTATAAAACCCTGGTTTCTGGGAACATAGCTCTAAATAGACTAATGTTCTTTTACATGGGACTATTTGTTAATTAGTGACAAGATGAGAATTGTGAGAGAGGAAGTTGGAAATCCCATATGGAAAGAGCAGAGCAAGCAGATCTAGCCTGAGCTTGGGAATCGAGGAAGGAAAATTCAAACAAGGGGTGAGRAGGATCAGCCACATGAAGAGGTGTGGGAGCAGTCCAGGCAAGGGAAGCATTAATCAGGCACCCGAGAGTACTAGCATCAGCAGAGGAGGAGAAACTCAAAAACAAGGCATTGACGGGAACTCATTAGACCTCACTAATGAGTTCAAGGGTAATGTTGATATTTGCTAATACATTATTCCTTATGTAGGTTGGTGCTGCCTTACCTGTGGATGTCCTGACCTATGAAGAGAAGACCTTGTCAGCCATCCTGAGAATATGTAGCAGGTACGATAAACAGGAACATTGTAGAACAACGGGGAAGAGAGACTGATGGAGAGACAACAAAAATGCTTGCTTTTAGAACAAGAAGAGTTTTGTGATTATGAACTCTGGCAACTTTTGGAAATGTAAGCTGAGATGAATCTGAACATCTATCAGGGGCTTATGCACTAGAAAGAGCAAAACTCRTGGTTTGATTACAGCCAGAGTTCCCTATTGATGGTCATGGTTGGACAGCCAGTAATATATATTTTAGAAATATTCTTGGGTTCATTTTATTCTCTGCCTATGATATACTGTGCTTTTACTCACAGGTTTTGTTATTGTTTGTTTTTTTTTGTTTTGTTTTGTTTTCATTTAAATTAAGGTTTTCTGATAAAAACCACCCACTTTTCTGGACTTAAAAAGTACTAATAAACAGAAGTACTATTCAAGGACAAATCTTCATTTGTTTTCTTGATCTTTTTGCAGTGGTCTAGTCAAATTGTGGAGTTCTTTGACCCTGTTAGGATCCTACAAAGGCAAAAAATGTGCTTTCAGAGTGATTCAGGTAAAGGTTGTTCCTTCACGTATTCCAAGTGAGATTGAATATGGACCAACTGCTTTTTTACTATGTGCTTGAATGAAGGTCATACAGTTAATAGCAGCTAGCAAGGAGGGTAAAATGTAGGACTTCATTGCTTCTGAAAATGTGAGACAAAGTATTTAGATTTTAGATTGGATGGGAGATGTTTGGGAATCAAAGTTGGAACACTTGTGATAAAGGCTTTTAAAATAATGTTTACACCTAGTGTGTTATGTATTGATACACTCATCCAGAGCTTTTGACTACTTGTTTAACTAAGGCCGTTCTTTAAAATGCTAGTGCAGCCAGACAATGACTCGGGAAGCTGAGGCAAAAGGATCACAAATTCAAGGCCAGCCTAGTCAACTTAGTGAGTCCCTGACTCAAAAAATAGTTGGGT